TATTCATAAATATTTAGCCATAATAATGCTTAATTCTGGCTCACCATATTTTACATTCTGAATTTTTTTTTTGAAGTGAAGTTGCAACAGAAGGTTTGAAACAATTAACAGACACGGTGCACAGTTAACCAAGATAAGATGTTTAACCCGATATACTAAGCACAAAGCCTATAAGCTCTCCATCACTTAAGTATGCCTAAATTCTGAATTATTTTATGTCATATTTCAATAATGATACATCCTCAATCACCCCTTCACCCAAAAGCATATGCAAGATGTCAAGCGTTTTACATGCATCCACAGAAAATAACTACAGCTAAATTGAGTGACTCGCTAGCATAAAAAAAGAGCATTAGATCTTTTTTAATGTGAAAGAAAGTTTAAATCTGGCAGATGGTCAGTACAGTAGCATGTCGTAGTTTTACACAACCTTCAGTATTTTATCATCATTTTTAAGGGTTTTGTTTAAAAATGCATGCATATGGTAAGTGGAACTTTCACAAGAATTTCTAGTTAATGAAGAAAGAAAATCCCTCCTTTTGCTATAGGTATCAATAGGCAAATTTGAAGTTATCAAGTAAAAGCCCCTGTCCCCTAACCGCACCCTGCTCCTCCCCTTACCAAGATATAAGTTCTGTGTCTGCCTCTGTTCTTTGGAATGCTTCTCTTCACATATCTAATATATCCCACAAGATTGTGATCCTTCTTATTCTTTTTGTTTGCAATGAAATTAAGCTTGTCTAGCCATTAATGAGCATGGAACTAGAGATACATGGTTAACGATGCATAAACCTAATGAAAGTTGTGCAAATATTGAAATCTAACTTTAATTACATCTCAATCTCATGCCATTTTTTTTTGTAGGTTGAAGCTTTACTGGCGTGAGAAACTTAACCAAATTAATATTGCAATTCAATAATAGTATCACTATTTGCAAAGTTGATTTAAAAGAAAACTTACTGCAAGCGATCAGCTGCATCATATATTCCCATGTTTTGTGTACTTGTATCATCAATTGCTAGGATTAAATCCCCAGATGAAATTCCAGCCCTATATGCTGGACCTCCTGGAGCAGCTGAAATAACCATCAGTCCAGAGATTGATTTATCATTTTTTGCAGGGTAACCGATTGACAGCCCAACTCCTGTCAGAGTGTTTTGTGTTCCTGACTGCCTTCATAGAACATATCAACAAATTTTACATTATGGACCAAAACCAATAGTTTGTGATTTAAGGAGAAAAAGCTATATTCAAAATTAATATAGAAGTGAGAATGTCACTGAAGTCAAATATAATAATGAGGAAGATGGAATCATGTAACCCCGTACCCGCAAACTCTTAAATTTTCCAGGCTCCAGGAACCGAGTGAAAGGGTCATCCAGAGTGGCAATCATCTTCCTTATTGCAGCATCTGGAGGTTGAATATAAAACAAGAATTCAGATAGCCGATAATTTTTTACACATTAGAGTGGTTCAACTACGCCAAAAGGGGACAGAAATTATTAATTTAAAACAAGAATTCAGATAGCCGATAAAACAAGAATTCAGATAGCCGATAATTTTTTACACATTAGAGTGGTTCAACTACGCCAAAAGGGGACAGAAATTATTAATTTACAAGCAATTTTAAAGTGACAGATCAGTAAACCAGATTACTGACCAGTGTCTTGCTTCACAAAATATGTCCTTAAACCCAACTAAGACAGCACCTCAGAAAGATTTCGTTCAAAACCTATTAATCAATTTTTATTCTCTAATGAAGCCCATGTTTGGTAGGAATTAAAATTCAGATTTTAATCTAAGTCAAAGTCAACGATGAATTTTAACCACACATTTCATTGGCCCACAACTTTTTAACCACACATTTCATCAATTTTTTTCTTTATGGAAATAAGACTTGAAAATGAAGGACCAACAGGCCCCGCTAAAATATTTCCTCCCGTTTCTTTTAAATCCTCTGCCACAGCCAGGGGCATGGACATATTGCTGGTCTAGTAGATAATGAACTGAACTTTTAAATATGTCAATGAGAATTTAAAATAGTGCATATGCTGTCAGTGACATGTGTATCTATAATTATTAGGTGTAAGCCAGAGTTAGAGAAATACAAAATGGTGATCATGACAGAATTTGGTTTGGTATACAAAATTCGGAAACCTAATGAGCAACAGAAAGCATAAGATGACATGAATGTTCAGTCGTACATTTGAAAGATGGAAACTTAATAGGAGTTGCATGACAAGATAACTTACATGTCTCTTCTCGTGTGTTCATCGGTTCACTGCGCAAAGCATTTTCCCTGTACCTAAACCAACTTTGTCCATTGAATGTTTTGTCGATATAAGCACGGTCAATCGTTCTCCATGCTTCCAAGAAAAGTAGATTTTCTTCACTAAGGGCCCCTGCATATTGAAAGGACTAGGAATCAAACCATAAACTACCAAAAAAGTATTTAGCATTTGAAATATTGCCGAAATAATTGTTCGGAAGCTTCGGGAAATTCAAAAAAACCAGAACTAAGTAACTTACAGGAAGGAGTTCTGCTAACAGCGGCACCAAGTGTCATAGCAATCATCATTGTGACTATAATCCGGAAAGAGAAAACAGGGACCAGATTGTTAAATCTTTCAGAACATTTTAATTTCTTGTGGATGCCGATAGCAAATTTTCCTAGTTGGGGTAGGAATTCAGGCTTTATCAAGAAGAAACCCCCTTGGGATATGAATCTCCCATTCAGCTGCCAAAGTGAATGGAGAAAAGTCTTGTGTGCACAGCTCTTTAGATTCAGAGATGGATAGGGGGTTGTTCTCCTACTTTTATCTTTACTTAATAATGAACTGCACGATCGAGTTTCAATTTTCCTCGTCGTAGTATGACTGCAAGCAAGAACCTAAAAGCATAGAATTCCTTTGCTCATTAATCTCAATTTGCATAAAAATTATAGTCTAAATCTTTTCAGATAAGAAGAAAATTTACAATTTCGATTGGCTACTTAAATATATTATATTATAAATCCAATCAGAGTATTTAACTTAGTAGCTCTGCCATTTGGAAAACAAAATCACTATTGTATTAGTTAATTCATTTGAAAAGTTACAAAGAATTACACATGAACATCACAACATGCTCATTCAACAAAACAACAGACACTCAACATGCTGAAAAGCGTTGGCTTCAAAAATATTTGCCAAAAGCATATCACCAGTTATGTGGTAGCATAAGAACAGTTCTTCAGAACAAAAATAAATTGCTTTCAATAGATATACCCATACACCAGTTGACTTGAATTCAAACTTCAAACTAATTATATACTCTTTATCTATTTGACATTATACTCCGATTAAAATCTATCGCTCATTAACCCCAAAAATCGCAAATGACTATCAAACTATCGGAATCTATCGATGCAGAAAAGAATCGAGTTTTTTTTTTAAAAAAATTAAAATTGGAGAGTACCCAAAAGGCAAGGAGAGTACCTTGTTGGAGAAAATAGAGTGATTACAACGAGAAGCTACAGACCCTACAATAAGCGCTTCCATCTGAGGAGCGCTTTTTCTTCAGACGCGAATTTATAAGCTAATCAAATTCGTATTTCAGCTTCATGGGTTGTTGTTATCAATTGCGCTTTTTGTGTTCTTTAAATTTCTTTATTTTTTTAAAGAAAAATTTTGTGGTTATGATTGGTTGGGTTTTGTTTTGGATGAAATTTTTTGTCACGCTTTGGAGTGTTAACGTAGGGCTCAAATTTTTTTCTCTATCTAGTGATTCTATGAATTTATTTATGAGTAATGTTATTCATCTCCAGTGAGGATGAAAATACAGTCTGTGTCATTAAATGATAGGCTAAATGAAAGGTGAAATTAAATAAATTTCACCTATCATTTAATGCCACATTATCGCCACATAGACTGTGTTTTCATCCCCAGTAGGGATGAATTTGTTTGCCATTTTCCAATTCATTTGTAGAAAATTTTGGACAATTAGTGGGCCCACTTGTGAGATACAAGGTCAAATATTTTGACCGAAATTGAGAAGTAACGGATATGTGTCTTCTGTATTGTTAAGTCCCATTTAAAAAGGGAAAAAAAAAACTAAATTCAGAATTTGTTTGGGAGAGATTTTTTAGGGAAGAATTGATTTTAAATAGTAATATGATGGGAAATATGTGGTTTAAAAAAGAAGAAAACATTATTGATGTGATAGAAAATATTATTTTATTGAAGAATGTGTTGTTGAAAATGAGAATTGATTTTCTATAGAAAAATTTAATCTCTTCCAAACAGGCCTAACTATCACTTTTTAGATTTTTGTTTAGTACACTGAAACAGCTTGTTCTACTTTAATCTTGTTCGGTTCAAAAATACCAAATGGACGAATTGATAATTATGAAATGACTTGTGAAACTCATTAAATTACGATTTACTATATACACTCACATGTTGACTTTTCATTTTGCTCTTTTCCATTTCGTTCAAAAGGAAATTTTGACGATGACAGAAGGAAAAAAAAGAAACAAAGACGGCATCTCTCCTATGCCTGTCGTACGTGTGATTATGAACTGGTGGTGAAGGCTCAAGGGCTGGTGCTCGTGACATAGGTGGATGAGTCACTGCGCTAGATCGGGTCGAGTGGCCCGGGCAGGGTGGAGGTAAAAGTGTTACTCTTCACTCATGCACAATCAACGTCGAGTAGTCAGTCAGAATGCAGAAGAAACAAAATAGCAAACGAGCATGTTTGGCCAAAAAATATTACTAGTTTGGAACTGACAAATTGAGTGGATCAAAATTCATAACCCAACTTAAGCGAGAGAGGTTGGAAATTCTTTATCAGCAGTGGGACAGTTGTGCGGATTTTTGTCCAGCTAGCTTATAAAAAGAGCAACTTATGCCAAACATGATCTGCCTACAAATATCAGAATTTAGGCAATTCAACTTCGAAAAAATAGAAGAGCTAATTGTTGAAACAAAGAGTTCATTAAATATTTGTCTTACAAAAATAAATTAATTGGAATCCAGTACTTGATCGTAAATATTTGAACTAATCAGGCTAGTAACCTGCAGAAAAGAAGGAAAAAAGAACTATAATCAACACCGACACCAACTCACTCACTACTCCAAGTATCAGGTCTAGACAGTACTTGACATGCAGTGTTTAACAGGTTGAAGACAGTTTTTTCTTCCTTAATATAGTTCAGGGCCCGTTGGGTAAAGATTAAAATCCAATTAAAATTGAAAATATGACCGTTATTGAACCACTTGTCTAATAAAAGTCAATAATAACGACTAGTTTTTCAATTTTAATTCGATTTTAATCTATACCGAACACATTGTCAGTACTGCCTAGTTCACCGTACCAAGGTAAAAAGCAAATAGAACTTACAATTATGTCGTCACCAACTGACAAAGATAATCTATACCACACAGTTGTTGTTTCTTAGGATTTTCTTTTACTAATTTGAAAGATTTGCACGACTCCCTCTACTGATTTCCGGCTTTCATCTTTTTCCTCTGCTTTCGCCTTTGTTCATGTAAACCTGGAGAAGTAAAATGAAAATGTTGCAGTTAGCTTCAGGAAAAAGGAATATTGAAGATACATGATAGCAACAATAAGAATGATAGAGAATATAAATAACAAAACAGCAATGCTGTGAAATATTGGTGTGCAGGAAGGATAAATGAGATACGTTTTTTCATCTCTTTCCTCTTTCTTCTCAAGTCATCCATATTCTTTCGCTTTTCAGAAATCTCTTTCAGATCCAAGCATGCCTGAGAATATTTGACAGAGACCAAAATTTAGGTCATATGAAAAGGAACAGACCAACACATTTTTCTAATGAGAAAACAGGAATTCAATACAAATATAAGATATATACGCAAAGGTAAAAAAAGCGAGTTGATATTTTCAAGATTCATATAAAAAAGGGAACACATTTTTACCGCTGCATAACAAAATTATGAACAGCAGAACAATAAAATCTAAATTTGGGACTTCCAGATAATTTCACCAAAACGTCAATAATATAACACAATAAAAGAAAATGGGTAGATTTCTGTTGCATTACCTCTTTATTTGCACTCCTCAATGCCTGAAGTGGTTCTACACAATCCTGACCAATAACTACCAACTTCCGCCTTTTGTTTTCGCCAAAACTACTTGCTTCACCAAGTTTCTGCTTCGCCAGTTCTTCAAATTGATGTTGAAGAAGAGGTGACACACCGGCCTGGGAAAGATTCAATTAAAAAATTTAAAACATCACATATCTCATGCATAAGGATTTGAAGTAGAAGAAAATAGAGTATGCAATGTTTTCTTCGCTCCTATGGGGTATCACCTTAAGCAAAAGTTTGATATAAAGATTGGCATAGGGTATGTGCAATAAAAAAGAACGATGAAACTGACATAGAGTATGATATAAGGCAGGAATAGGGTCTCTTAAATAGATCGTGCTTTAAATATTTATTTTCTTCGTAAAACCTTCCCATGCTATCGAGACTAGACATAAAAGCATGTTAGCTAAGCTTAAAAGTTGCTTTTTAAGTAACCTTTTTTTGCCAAGCTTGTTTGAGGTTTTCCAAAAATTTCCTTTTTTTGGATTTCCACTATAAAATTTTCTTTATTGACAGTACTGTCAAGAAAAGTAAGTTCACTTTTTCAGACTTACTGCCATAAAAATGAGTTTATTTTCTTTAAGATAGCCAAACATGTTGAATATATAGTTATTTAACCAGGTACACAGCTAGTGAATCAGTTGGTCAATTTTGTACAAACTATTTTCTCAACTAAAATGATCTTTCATTGATTTAACTTTCTACCTAGAGAATGTTGGTCGTATTCCTACTAATTTTTATCAGTTTCAATCAATGGTGATGACAAAAAGTTATGAAATCTACTTTGGAATACACAACACGTATGATATTGAAAATAATAAGTCGAACTGCTAACCACATGACAAGTTTGTCAGAACAAAAAAAGAATGCGAACCCCTATTATACTTTAGTTTTAATACAAAAGTGAAACTTCAGCACTTTCATGTAAATATACAAGTGTGTTGTGTGTATGCATGCACTTACCCCAGCCAAGTAGCGCTTTGAAAATGTTTTCGGTTGCAATGGCCGCGAAAGAAGTGTATTGAGCTCCTGTAATTTAACAAATAAAGGACAAAGCTTAGAATAATATTAACTGTAGAAAAATTATATTTCATGCTGTCTGGTTTTAGAAAAGTCATATTTGAAAGACAAAATCAATCAAACTAGCAAATTATCATTGGTCAGGGGAGACCTGCTGCAACTTATTTAACTGACTTGACGTGGCTTTATTTAGCCTGTGTTTCTTCACTCTCTCTTCTTCACTATCATCATCATCCAAAACCAAATCAACTGATTCAGCATTGCGCTCCAACCAACTTTTCTCGGCTTTTTCCTGGGACAAGAAAAGATCTGAACAATGAAACTATGCAGCATCTCAATAGCCTGATGTCAAGTTAAGCGGATCATAATGATAAAATATTTTTCTAGAAGATGAGCATCTCCCTTCTCTGTATAATGGCTTAAACCACAACACAAGTACGTATTTTATAAATTGAGGCTAATGCACTTTGATGTACTAAAGTATCAGGAGAGCTATCGTAGCATGTAGCTCAAAACAGGGAAAAATAATGTAAAATTGGCAAGAGAACGTGAAATAAACCACGGCCTTGTAGAAAACCCCACAGTTCCAACTGATAAGTGTATTTTATACACTTATTCGGGGTCTAAAATAACAATATTTGATAGTTGTTTTCACAAAATATATCCTAAATTTTTGCATTTTAATTTATATCGATAAACCTCACTGCTTGGACGAAGAATGGAAAGAAAGAAGCAAAAAATGGTGAAAATGGCACAATTTAAAGTTTGAGGATCAAATGCAAATTCAATAGTTGATTTGGACCACAAGATGATACCTTGAAAATGTCTAGGAGACAATTTGGTGGAATTAGAACTCAAAAAGGAATGGAATTTATCACAATCAATATCCAATCGCACAAGTTATATTCCAAATTTTTAGTCGAAAATTGAGACCCATTTTTGGTATCTTAAAAGTCCGAATTGAGAAATTTATATTTCTACCAAAGTTGCAGCCCTTTAAGTTATCTTTCTACAACACTTTGAATCGCTTCAATCGAATATCGGAGGAGAAAGTTATGGCCAAAATACTGACTGTTGCGTAGAGACAAAAAATCTGCACGCAAATGCAACTTTCCTTATCCGATTAGAACTCTTTTGGAAGTCAATTTGGACGTGATTTTCTATCAATTCTCGACTGTTACAAATAGAGAACAGCAGAATACATATTGGGAACTCTTAGGTACATAATATACTCCATTATTCATCAATTATTATCATCAAAGGAGGAGAATTCATAGTTTTTGTGAGAGAATTGATGGAGATTTGCAAGAATTCATTCAAGTGAAGGTTCAAACCTAATTTTTGAGCAAAAAAGAGAAGGCGCAACTGGAGATTCATCAAGAAACCATTGAAGAGATTTAAGATTTCAAGATTCATCTTCATGTTCTCAATTTATCAATAATCCGGGTTATTTCTTTTCACTTTTATAAGATTTCTTGTAATTTCAATATCATGTTAGGCTAGATTTTTATATTGCTAAAGATATAGATGAACCCTTGTTTTGAAACTTTTAGTATTAATTAATTATTGACATTAATTTATTAGAATGCGTGGACATTTATTATGATTTAGTTTGCTTTTCAATTAATTACCAACTAGTTGAATTGTTTGTGGATTTTATTATCATCGAGAGAGGTAATAAAATCGTTAGCACAGAGTAATAAATATTGTGAGGTTCGATAGAGGATAGAGATATATCTCTATGCTTTGCATGGTTCATAATGATGTTCTAGTTCGTTAATGCATTTATCATGTTCGTATTTTTCATCAAGAGATAGGAAGGTCGCATGAGGGGAATAGATTTAATTGCTATCGAGAGAGGCTTTTAAATAAATTTGGAATTTCGACCAACTCGCGAGATAACAAATTGCCAATTTAATTGTTAAACTAAAAATGGATGAACAAGGAGGATTCTAGATCTTAGCAATACATTTCATAAATTTAATAAACTCTTACTTAAATTTTTTGTGCGTGATAAATTAGATATAGATTTATTATAAATTGTTATTGCCATTCGATTAAGGGTATTATGTACTTTAACTCGATCAAACACGTAGTCCTCGTGGGTTCGACACTTTACACATTGCTATATTACTTGATCACGACCCCATTCACTTGCGAGAAATCAAACGATCACCAACCAAAAAAGGAAGAAGTAGCATTCCAAACTGTAAGGTCTGTATAAACAATTGCACCAAGGAAAGGAAATTACAATTACCTGGGAATTCTTCCGAGTAATCTTGTCTATTTGATGAGCAAGAGATAATCGTTTAATCACCTCCGGCATGTAAGAGAGTTCAATAGGAAATCGCTGGAAACTCTCCTGAATAACAACCACAGACAATCATCGCACATTTAAGTTAAGAATTAGTAGCAGATTACCCATAAAAATATTCATTTATAATCATTTGGTTTGGCCATGCAAAAAAACTCGTACACATAAATACAGAAAAGGGTTGTAGAGTTTGAGTTTGCAAGCTGATGAACGCTATTTGACATATACAATTTGCATGGAAGTACAACAACAAAAACTTAACACTAACATAGGAGTGGATAGAGTAGGAAAATAAAGGTGATATAAATAAGTTCCTAAAGGAAAACTTGGCATTGCAGAGCCCAATTACTCCCACAAACTCCCCTTAGAAATTCTAATAAAAGAAATAAGGTCCACAAACCTCTTCACATCTCACGTGATGTTTCATACATATAATGAGCCAAACAATTGGGAGAGAGACGCAGATACAAAAACATGATCAGTTATTAATACAATAGAAAAGCAAGAGATAGGGCTCAACCAGCTCTGACAAGTGACACCAATATAAAACAAGGGTTTGTATCAAACAACTACTATCGATTGGGAAGAGTTGTTGATCTTGCTCTCATCAACTATTCTTCAAGTTTCACTTCATCAGCGTGGAACATTTGTTTTTTCATGAGATGACAAAGGCAGCAGCAACATGATAGTCATATCCACGCATAATGTTCAGTCAGTTCTTTTGACTTGTAAACTTATTGACTGGCAGTTGGCAAAAATCTGCAAGTGTATAAAATAGACTAGAGAAAACATCCATTCATCCCTCAATCCAAGATCAAAACTACAGATAAAATCCAAAGATCAGATCTCTTCACGTTTGCACGATGTCCACAATTAATGTCTACTTCCCCCAAAATGAACATTTTCTTTCATGGTATGTTCCTCACCAAAATAATTCCAATTTTCCAAGTTTCATACATATAGTCACATGCAGGCACATATCAATTTAGTCAAACATTAAGAGATATTAATTAGGAAATCATGCTAAATAGGCGACTTTTCAACTCTAATCTAAATAAATGGGCCAAGATAAACCAATACATTCAACTGCAGGTGGAGAGAGGTGTCACTATTTTAATATAAGTTAAGAAGATATTCTCTACAGTGACCATGTCCTTGGATTTTCTGCTTTCACGTTCAACCCCATAGCCACTGACAATTTGAAAGCCTACTTTTGAGTTCACAGTGCATTCACCAAAATTCTGATTCTCAGCCATACTTCATTTTGTTTTGCAAATAATTACACTTAATTATGATTATAAAGCATTTCTCCAGTCTTAAGGAATGAACTTTCGAATACCGTTACCTTTGCAAATGATTTGGATAGAGCTGCAAATTTAGAAGCATCATTCGGCGAAATTAGAGCAATGCTGCAACCATCAGAAAAGGCCCTAGCTGTTCTTCCACATCTATGAACATACACCTACAATAAAAATACCCGGTTTTAGAAGTGCAAACACTTGGAAAATAACCACAAAACGGAGCATTGACGATAACTTACTTCAGCTGAAAGTGGAAGCTGGTAATGAACAACTGTTCGGACACCAGTAATATCAAGCCCTCGTGCAGCCGCATCTGTAGCGACAAGTATGCCATGTTCAATTGCACGAAACCGGTCAATTGCCTGGCACAGGGCGAAAAATCGAACACAAGAGATGCATCAGAGAAAAGGGGAAATTCAATGTAGATTTCAAACAAATACTTTGCCAAGACAACCAATTTAGTCAGAATAGAGCAACATCTATGCTTCCATCTCATTCCCCAATATCAAGGTGAAACTGTTATTCCTTCTATTCAATTAAGGCAGCCTCATAGATGTTAACAGCAAGTAGCAATCCAACATAATGCAGAATATCAGTTATTAATATTATCCTCTTTGCAAGGAGGAAGAAATATAAATGTGCAAACATGATAATGTGCTTTAGCAAAATATCTTTAACATAGATAGATATGACATAAGTTAAGGGCAAGAATAGGAAAATCACATAAAAAACTAACACCCACAAAGTTGCATGTGAATCCAAACAATGACTTGAGATGTTGAACCGAAACAAACCTTCAGGCGTGCCCTTTGCTGCATCTCTGAATGAAGGGTCCAAATGTTAATGTTGAGGATGCGCAGGATGGCAGAAATATGGCGTAAAGCAGCAATGGATGTACAGAAGACAATTGTTCGACCTTGTCCGTGAACACTTAAAATATAATATAAATAGGCATCTTTGTCTTCTTCCCTACACCTGCAACCCACTATGCATGAGATACTACCTCCTTGGTTTAAGTCAATAAAATGGACACAAGAAAGATGTAAACAAGCAGCGACATGTTTCTCACAACGAACAGAAAGATAGCACAAGTCATGCCAAAATGACAATATTGACAATAAACCTCCTATGCCAAAATGAGAAACGACGACCGCTGCTAAATAATTTTGTTCCACAGGCAAGCCGTTTAGGAAATAAAACAAAAACTCCAAAAAGAGAAAAGACATACTCAATCACTGATTCCTCAAGCTTATTAGCCAAAATTGATGCATTCGTAAGGTCTATTATAGCAGTATTTGGCCTCATTCCTGCCCTCTCAGAAAGAGTTTCAAATGAATTGAGCCCATCAATTTTTTTTGAATTCACTGATCCACGCTTTAACTTCTTCCGGAAATCAGCAGATAGAGCAAGAGTTGCAGAAAACACAAAAGTTTGCCTTTTCTTTCTTTGGAGGCTTGAAACTGTCACACAATTCTGTGTATTTTGAGGTTGACTCTCGGTTGATCTATGAATGGGAAGCATGTCGATTATTGATTGCAATTCACGAAAATGACCGGACTCAATCATGCGATCAGCCTCGTCCAGCACAAAAAAGGACAAGGAATGCAACTGCAATAGACGATATGTAAGTCAGTATTATTCTTGTTCTTCAATTCAAGAAAATAGTGCTTACTACAAAAAAATTGTAATATAGACACACCTGCAGCTATCCTTTCAAGTTGATTAGTATATCTTTGATGAATAAATTACTTCAAATTACATGGTACTCCAATCATAGATACGTTAAACTTTTGATTAGACAAGATATCCACACCAGTTGATTAGTACACCTTTCGATGAATATAAACTACATCGAGTACATGATTCACTAAGGCTCTGTTTGAAAACACAAATTTTCCATTTTCCAACTTTTGCCTTGTTTCATACAATGAAAACATTTTCCCAAAAAGCTTCACACGTGCACTATTTCTTGGATTTGGAGGAATTGGATTTCCCACCTTTTTGGTGGGAAATCTGATTCCAGCTTTTCGGTTTTTTTTTTTTTTTTT